TGTCATAATTATATTAATCAAATAGACTTAACCAGTAATGTTTTGTTTTAAATATTTTTCATATATAAAACGCGGACTGAAAAACAAACCTTTCGGGATCGAGTTCGGCACCTTCACATCCGCAACGGAATGACCCCATGACACAGTTTGGAACATTTGTTAAAATGAATTAATTTACGGAGCTTCAGAAACCAAACAACTCGAAAAAAATTAATGTATAACCAAAACAAATGTTCACTGCCCGTTTCTGTATGTTCACTACCTACATTTCATCCACAATGCATTCCAACAATTAGATGTTTAGTTTTAATTTTTAAATGGAATTTGATAAAATTGTGATTAGAACATATCTCTACTTTGGAAGAAATCGAACGGGCCGTTTTTTTTAAAATAAAGTTGCATCGAGGAAAAGACATACACGCACCTGTAAACGGAAGTAATTTTTTAAAGCTGACGATGAAATTTAATAAAATTGATATCATAAAATCATTTTTTAACTAATCCCTAATTTTTATCTAACTTATGCCCAAATCGAACGTGTAATTGGTGAGGTATAGGCGTATCAAGGAAAACAAGTTCGGGTATAAGAAAGAGGAAGTAGTGGAAGAGATTTGATGACTTTGATAAGGGACCATATGTACCAACCAGAGACGTAAATATCGTAAAAATATATATGTATTTTTTAAATAGTAATTTCATATATCCCACAATAATACCGATACTATTGATATCTATAGTTATCAAAGATAACCAAATAATTATACTTTAATTGATAAAATTAAACATTTCTTTAACAAAAAGTATTGTTTTTTAATTTGTCAATAAAGGAAATAAAAAAATAATTTTTAGGAACTAGAATGTGAAAAGTTTAGATAGAAAAACTCAATTAAATAGCTAACAAATAAAAAAAAAAAAAAAAAAATATATATATATATATATATATATTATTTTTATTATTTATTTTTATTCCTACTGGTAACCCATACAAGATCGTTATTGATTTCTTCATGCTCATGCTTAAAGACATACTACATGAAATATATATATATATATATATATATATATATATATATATATAGATGATGTATATAGATGGAAGTAAATCAACATTAAAATACTAATATTTATTAATTTAAAGAATTAATTTAAGAATAAAGAATTGCTAATTGAGGAAGTTAATTAAATTGCTCAACACAAAAAAACCAAAGAAAATCAAAATTGAATTTAAAATGACCGAAATCAATAAAAAGATTTTAATTTTCATTTTGTACAAAAAAAAAAAAAAAAAAAAATCACGACTAAACCCCAAAATTTCTTAGGTACTCTGTTCCAAAATAATCTTTTTCATGTTATAACCAGTGAGGCGGTTTTCCTAGACATTTCTAATTCTTTTTTTTTTTCAAAAAGGGAGGAAAAAAAAATTAATAACATAATGTTATTTTATTATATATTGATTATATCAGTTTTCAATAGTCAAATTTTAATATTGATAAATAAAATATCTCAGTATTTTTCAAAAAATATTCTATATTTTTTCAACATCCCTGTTGTCAATCCACTCAAATCATGAAAATTGTATGTAAAACAGATTAACGGTAGTAAGTGATATGCCTTTCACATGGATTTGACTGCTAATATATTCATTTGAATAACAAAATTTGTTCCTGAAAATCCAACACATAAAAAGCGAGAGTAATTTTTTCAATTCCAAGACCAAACAATGTTTTAACCTCCTGCAGAAATAGAAAGCTTACATACTCTTGTTTAAAAAAAAAATCTATTATACTATTTGGATGTAAAATAGTAGAGATAAATTAAATTTGGTTTGCTGTAAAACAAAATGAGTAAAGAAAGTAAAGTATGTAGCTATATTATTAGCTTAAAAATATATGATCATAATACAAGGAGAAACCAAGAGCAATTATTACTATTAAAAGCTTAACAGTTTACTAAAATAAATCCAACTAGTATTTAACAGACTTTATTTTACTCTTGTACAACTAAAATCATAAATAGATAGCTAATCACTACCTCAATACTATATATCTTCCAAGCATAATGCAGTTAACAAATTCTTTTAGTGTAGTTCAAGTAAATAATGGACAGAAACAAGATTTTAAAATTAGATTTCAATTAAAATTCAGAATATAAATACTATTTCAACAATAACAACAGGATCAAGTAATTTAAAAAACTTAATCAGATGACAGCCAATAGCCATATCATTTAAATTATTACTTATAGCAAAAATGTTCTTTCCATTTTTTCCTTGGGATTTTATAAAACTTTCAAGTTTAAATAATTATTTATTTATTAAACACAAAGTGAATCACACTAAATTAGTAAAACAAATTTAAAGGGAAAGGGAAGATAAAATAATTGCTTAATTATTGGCCATTTTTTCAACTTTAAGAGTTGATAATTAATTATAACTCTTAAATCAAACATGCCTAATTAAATTACAATATTTATTACTACACAACAAAAACTTGAGAGGATTTTAATCAATATGTATCTGGAGCATAAAACACTATCATAAGAGGTAATAAAAGTATGTTAAAGTAGCTAAATCCAGTATTAAAAAGGAAAACTAACAATAATTTAATTGTTTTTTTTTTTGTTGTTTTAATGTTCACTATCAGAGATAAAATAAACATTGAAATAATAAAGGTGTAAACAGTAATTTTAACTATCAATAACGTAAAACTGACTATCCAACACAACTGTGTCAGATTTCCAGTCTTTTATATACAAAACTACAAATCAGAAATTAATTAGGTCTAATCAGGAAGTTTGTATGTAAAAGATTTTAACTCCATGATGATTGTTAATATGAAAAATATAAAAATAATTCCATGAATGAATTTCTTTAATAAAAATGTAACTATATGACAACTGATGTGGTCAGGAACAATTAAGACTTTGGGATAACTCTAAGAAACTTACAAAATTTGAAACATTCCTCAGAATTTCAATAAGAAATAAACTAAAACTCTCCTTCATTCCTGTAATGGACAGAAATAATTAAATATATCTTTCTCGAAAAGAAGGTAAATAGATAGTGATTAACCTACCCTTTCCTCCCCAATTGCTTGATTCCCTAAGCAAGTGCTTATAGATTAATCCACCTTTGATACAACATACAATAAACTGGCATGAATAAAAAAAACTGAACCGAATAATTTTATAATAAATCTACATTAATTATAGTTTGGCCATAGTCGGTATTCACTCATGAACTCATATGGCACAACAATGTTGAAATTAACATTTTATTTTTTACCTTACTTTCCAAATATTTGCAAACGCACTGGTATAAATAGATTTATATGTATATACTTTTTAAGTAATATTGGAGATTAAAACGAAAAACATAATGTAAGTTTCAACTTCATGCTGCATAAGTTTGCCCTAGAGATGCCAACAAACTTTGTTCAACCAAGCTATAGAATCCTCTTGCAACATCATTCTTTTTTTCACACAAGATTAAACTATTAATCAGTTTGAATTATTGTTTTTAAAAAACATGAATGGAAGAAGCAATGAAGAACCAAATGTTAAATAAATTAAAAAAATTCAAAAACTTAACTCAATGATATTGGCTCAAAACTATTAACCAATTTTCATTTAAAAACTAGTTAATCATGAAAAATCTAAAAAATCCTTTAATAAAATTTAAAAAAAATTAAACAAAAAAAATGGCCTACTTGAATTTCTTAAATAAACAATAAAAGGGAATGAGATAGTTCAATTCCCACTTAACAATGAAATGAATCAACCCTGCTTCTATAGAAAAATCTCTAAAATAATTATGAAGTATTCTAACATAACCTGTATTCATATTTAAAAGTATCAAAATGTTATCATTGTCAAACAACCATTGATTAAGATATAAATTTAATTTGCCATTAAAGATCTGAAATTAATATAATACTGATTAATTAAAAAAATTAATTGTTAAACCTTCAATAACTGTCTATTTTAACACTAACATTGATAAGATTCATTAAGTTATATCAAACTAAAAACCGTATCACATTTTTATCCCAATTGAAAAATAGACTTTAACTGTTCAAATTGAATGATTAAATCTTAAATCTGTTCCATACTGAACCCTATAGAAATTAAATCGCAGTATTGTTTACAAATGATCCTAATCTCCAAACACTTGCAAAACAAAAAATGTAATAAATTTAACAAGAATAACAATTGTATATATAAAACCAAACTAATTTCATTTATCGTGTTTAAAAAAATAATACAAAATAAAAAAAAAAAACTGTAAGCTTAAAATGGTCATGTGAATCAAAATTTAAACTAATTGCAAAAAAGGAAAAGCAATCTAATGCGAGGAAAGATCTGTAAAATGAGTCTGAAAAATAAGAATTAACATCATATTACATAATAGCGATAGTGAACAATTGTTACTGGAACATATTGTGATATCAATTACTTGTTAAACCATGAAAAAAATGGCTTTTGCCATCAAAGTCTTCAAGTAAGGCCCATAAATGGAGCACAATAATCCTTAAGAAGTGTTAATTTTAAGGCTAACTTCATTATAAGAACTACATAGTGAAAAGATTGGTAAAATTTGTTTTAACAGCTACTAAGATTCTATTTATTCCTTTTTAAAAATTAATAGTTAAATTTAAAAAGAAAATCTTAACAGACATATTTCATCTGGATATTGATAATAGATAGTATTAAATAACGTAATCTAATAAATATTTTAAGTTAAGATATGCAGTAAACTGAAATTAGACAGTCTTTAGTAGTATTCAACATCAAAACATTGAAATCATTATGTAAGAAACATAAAGCAAGGTGTTAAAAATTTGATAGAACAACTAGACATAATATCATAAAAAGCCAACCAGGTCCAGTAACAAGATAAGAAAACACTAGGTAATCAATAACTGAAAAATTGTAAAATGAAGCATGAATAATCATAAAATTAAAAGCTATATTTTAAATTCATAAACAAAACAGTGTCTTACCTGATATGGGGAATTCCTATACAACCTTGCAAAACCTTGTACAATTTACTTTCATATAACAACTGGGGATGTTTTGCACGAACAGTTTCCAATTTCACAGCTACCTCCTGTGATTTCAAAATATTTATATCAATTAAATTTTATTTCATAACTAACTGTAGAAATTATGTCAACTTCAAGCTTAAGTTAAATACATAGGGCAAGCTAACATTCAAATGACAAAACTTCATAACACGAGAGCACAAAGATCAGTGTAAAATATCAGTACATTAGTGATTCGATTAAAATAGCAACATATGCATATAAATATAACAGTTATTCCACATTCAATAGGAATAATATTAAAAAACTAACATTTAATGATAATAATATAGCAGTATAAATTACTTAAGGAACAGCGAAGCAGCTAAACATTTTCTGCTCTAGTGTCTAATATAAAAAAGGAAGAATAAAATAATTTAGAAGTCATTATAAACAGAATATCCTTTATTTGAAACATATCTTGTTGAATGGTTTAAGTGTTGTATAAGAACAATAAATAACATGGCCACTGTTGCATCAATACCTTTCAGCCATTTTGAACCTTTCATAGACAGAAAGAAAACAGCCTTAAGTAACCTTTCGGAAGGAGTCAGGCTAAGTCAATAGATAGGAATAGATATGAACAATAATACACACCTCTCCATTAATAATGTTGATACCAAGGTAAATATCACCAAACGAACCACTTCCTATTTTCTTGATTAACTTATATCTTCCACCCACCATAAAATCTACTTTCGTGGACGACGACGAAGTTGCCATTGTTCAAGAAATATACACGACGAAAACAATTAAAAAGCAAATAAGAACACTTATTTCACCAACACGACTTATCCGACATTTTGTTCAGCAAAACCCACAACTAACTGGATCGGCAAGTTGGAGTAGGAAAGGAAGAAGCTACGTCATTCTTCTTACTCAACCAATCAGGTGGTAACCAATACTGACTATCGATTTACCGGATCTCATGTAGATTTATTAAATTATTTTAAAAACTACTTAAGGAACTTTAGAAATATAATAAGTTAGAAATGCTTTGACCTACGTTTTCCACTAATTTTTAAAATTATACATTCAACAAATTTCTTTTAAAAAGCTTTGATAGCTCTCCAAGCTAATCGATTTATTTCAACATTTTCATCGTCTTTCCAGTGATGGTTGTTCAAATTTAAAAACTTGGGGTTACCTTAAATAAAAACAAAGTGAAATCATTTTCTCTGTTTGTAAAATTATTATTTTAATCAGTGGAAATAGCGATAGATATTTCTACATAACAAATTATCATTTTATTTTCATTAAAATATATAAGGTGTGATGAAATGGTATTAATTTTACCATTTCATTGTTATTTATTTGTCAAGATGAAACATATTATATCTTATTTTAGTTTATCCATGGAATGTACTTATGGTAAAGTATTTTCCCATAAATGAAAATTTTTCAAATTGTCATTTCCTTTTGAATTATAAATTATGATTTTATATTTCTTTGTATTTCACTCTAAGAATCCTTTATCAGATAGAGAACATTGCCAAACTTCTAGAATCCTTTCACTTAAATTATTTATAACTAAATTGAAACTTTTTTATTTATTTTATTATTATTATTATTTTAATTTCCACTCTTAAAATTTTTGCTTTCTTTGCTGCAAAACAATCCCCACATTGTTTAAATTATAAAATTTTTTATTTGACTAAAGAGGAACCTTATTGCATAGCTCACTCTGTGCTGAAGCTTTAGTCAAGGTACAATATCTTTCTCATTTCAAGTAGTCTTTTAACCATTTTGTTATAAATTTTCAGCTACAGTTGTCTATCTTAATAAGCACTCTCTTATGGTATCCATTGGTTTTAACTATCAGTTCTAACAACAGTTCAAATATAATATTTATATTTTATTTATACATCAAATTTATAAAAATCTGGCGCAGTGTATGAAGTAACTTTCACTTGTCAACCAACTTCCAAGTGAAATTATTTATTTTAATAAATTAACAAACCTTAAAATTCCTACTTTGATTGTCGACAAAAAATTAATACAAGTGATTTCAAGCATATATTTTCTTTCGTCTTTCCATATATTTTCAATCAAAATTTGGTTTAATTTCCAAGGAAAAATTTATTTCTCATTCAAACATAAACAATAATAATAAAAATAGCTATTATTAACTATAACTAAATCATTAATTTTGCCTCACTTTCAATCCCATATGTTAGATATTAATTTTTTATAAATATTCAAATTTCTAATAGTACATTTCACTACTCTCATTAAAAAAAATTGATGGATAAATGTTTATTTTTCTCCTATTGTAAATAATCAACTTCTTTCATAGTTTATATCCAGCTATTTCCTATAATCATAATTATTATGCTTAATAAGATCAGGATTCGTTTACCCTTAACAGTCTATTTTATTTTAAAACTTTATTGGTAGAGAAGCTTTTGGTGTCCATGCACAATATTAATCTCTTTTATTAGTTATGTCTATTTAAAAAACATAAAGGATGAGAACAGTGTTCTCGTTCCACAATAGTTGAAGTGAGGAAACACTAAGCAAGTAATCAGAAGTTTACGGGTTTCAAATGGAAATAGGTGGAGTTAGTAATATAGTCATTTTAAAATGGAAAAGGCACAGCAGAAAATATCGGGCACATGGTTTCCCAGGAAAGAGTTTAATCGAAGGTTATTTCAAGGTTCTTAATGGTGGGATAGAATTGGATGGGATCATCATATAGGTACAGGGTTGGTATTTTAGGAACAGTTTTAAGGAACTGACTGGAGCCTATCAAAATTGCCTTGGTCTTCTCAGCATTCAACTTCAACTTGTTCGCATCCGCCCAGTCACAAATTTTATTCAAGTCCTCTTGAAGTTTTTCTGTGGCTGCTAATAGATCAGAAGGATGGAAGGACAAGTATATTTGAAAATCATCTGCATAAATATGGTATTGGGAGTGATGGATCAGAAGAGGAGTCATTAATCACAAAGCTGCGTACTGCCATGCTGGACGACATCGACACTATGATTCACAGGAGCGTAAATCCCATTATTGGACTCCCTGCGAATACTTCCATGGCAATGTTGAATGCCCCCAGAAGATACCAAGGATTAGGATTAATCCGCTGCCAACGGGAGGCTCCTCTTCAACATTGGTCCATTGCTCAGTGACTGTCCATTGTGCCAGTTACCCTTTTCCAATCTACCTTCGATTATTCGAATGAAGTTTCTGACTTTGCTGAGAGATTGGGGGTTGATCAGGGTCAACAAAATGTGAGAGCTCTACGGCAGTCGCTACAACAAAATTCGTTTGAGAAATGGGCCAACTACAGGTAGCAAGGTATTGGTGTTTGCCATTTTAAAGAGACCCTGAAAGTGAATAGATACATCTACGAAAAGCAAATACTTTCTGGGTCTGAATGGTCGAATGCCCTAAAACTAAACATTAATTATGCACCCCTGAGGGAGTCCCAGGTGTCAGCGAACAGGTCAGAGAAGTTGGGTAAAGGCGGCAGAGAGTCTGAAAAACCAGCCCATGTGCTGCAAAAATGTCCCAACAACCCTCCTCATAACATGCCACCATAGGGTCATGTTTGAGTTGATGAGGCTCCTTAGGGAAAGGAAATTCACCTGCTTTGATGAGGTATATTGCTTTGATTGTGAAAGCTCTACGAGATACGCGGATATTGTTGCATTTCCCAAGACAGAAAGGACAGCGCTGATCTTGGATCCAATTGTCCGCTTTGAGAGCAATGACCTTGATCAGGCGGGTGATGTGGAAAGGGAAAAGAAGAATACCTATGATAAATGTATCCCTTTCCTAAAAGAGAAATTCCGTGAGACCTTCAGAGAGAGAGAGAGAGAGAGAGTTCACCGTGAGAAGCCTCTGGTTTGGGTCTCGAGGAACAATTCCAAAAAGAACAAGGAGCTTCCTCGAGGAACTAGGTGTGGACATTAAGGAAGTAGCGAGTTTGGCTGAAAATATAGTCCTCGACTCCCTGAGAATCATTCACCTCATAAGCATGACTAGGCTGAGAGTTTTAATTTATGTATTTATTTATTGATTTAATGAAAAATGTCTATTATATTTGTTTTATATTAAATTTTATTTAATTCTAGATGTATACACTTTTGTTTTTTGTTATTGTTCTATTATAATTTAAAGCATCTTGATATTGTGTATAGGAGAGGTGTATAAAGAGAGGGAAGTGAGAGAAAGGGAAGTTAAATATTTAAAAACATTGGAAAAAAACAAGCATGAACAATGAAAGGAAAATATATATATTTATATTTATTATTCTCATATATAAAAACCACCTTTGTATATTTATATATAAGTTTATTTATTGTCCTACAGATTAACTAGTATGCTGTGTGTATAGCAACCCAATACAATTGGGCAGCAAGCTTTTATATTTTATATGAAAATAAAGTGTTTCTCTCTCTTAGCAAACAGAGTAGAAGATAGAGAGGAACCCTGAGGGATGCCGCAGAAGTGAAGTGACTTCAGAAGAAGGTTGATCATGGACGACTACATACCGAAATCTATTTGAACCACCGCAGAACACTGTTGGATTAAGGGAAATGTTGCTGATTAGTAAGGAGGATGCTGTGATCAAGTGTGTCAAAAGCTTTGGAGAAATCTAGGAGAATGAGGATAGAAAGTTTTTGGTGTTCAATGGAGTTTTTGAGGTCATGGATTATTTTGAGTAGGGCAGATTTGGTTGAGTAACCAGGATGAAAGACAGATTGGAGAGGGTTTATTAGGGAATGTTCTTCTAGGAATTTGGAAAGTTGATTTTGGATGAGGCGTTCCAGCAGTTTTGAAAGATTGGAGAGGAGAGAAATAGAGCACAAGTCATGAGGTGAGGAAGGATTTAAAATTTTATTTAAAGGTCGAACTAGAGTGGTTTCCAGAAAGATAGGAATATGGGAGTTTTGCAATGAAAAGTTGTAGATATGGTAAAGTACGGAAATAAGGATGAGAAGGCTGGAATATTATCAGGGCAATGATCATTGGTATGAGATTTTAGAATAGTGGAAAGTAGTTCATCGTAGGACACATGGGAGAAAAAAAAAGTCTTCCAGATAGAAATTGTGATGCTCAATATTGTAAGAGGGAGAAGGCTTAGAGGAGAACGATAAGAAGTGGTCATTGAGATAATCTGGAGTCACGGAGAAGGATCTGGGATGATTGGATTCTGGTAGGGATAGATTACGGAGTATTTTCCATTTGGATTTGGAATCTGGAGCATTAGAAAGCGCATTACGGAAGTAGATGGCTCCGATTACGGATACTCATATATATATATATATATATATATATATATATTTTTTTTTTTTTTTTTTTTTTTTTTTTAATTATACAAATAGTACCAGTCAGTTTTCTGATTATTACTTAATTATCCATTTCTAATATCCAGAAAGAATATCCGAAATATATTAATTAGTTAAAATATAACTATTTATTAGTTTATTGTATCCCTCTAGATTGTGCCTGATTTCATCTTTTGTACTATTTTTACAGTTCCCTTTGTGCCTCTGATTTATATATTTATGAAATAAGAACCAATATAACTTAATAATATTGTTAGATGATTCTAATAACAAAGTCTTAAGTCTCTCAGAAGAAATTCATATGAATAGAGAAGATACAATAAACCTGATAAAAATACAAACCAAATAGAGACAGTAAATCATCACAAGACATTTCAAAGAATACTGTAAATTATTAAGGAATAATTACAACGTAATATTAGTTGCAAATATTGAAATAAAAAATACTTCTCTTAGGTGTTTTAATTTGTCAGTACGTGACCTCTCTTCATAATTCATCAAAATGAATTTGGTAGGAAGAAATAAAAGGTTTTATCTAGGTTTCTGTTATATTACTATTGTTATATTTTATAACTATTAACCATTAGAGATTGTTAATTATTTAAAATAGACCATTTAAAAGGAATTTCACAGGAAGCTATTTTGATATTTAAACCCAAACAGGCTACTTAAATAAGTATGATATTAAAGTATATTTAATTTTATATCAATGTAATGAGTTTAGCCTAATTCATAAGGGCAGTTTTTGAGAAAACTATAAATATATGTAAAATTGATGATATAAAGTGGCACTCTAGTAAGTTATTTTCACCAAAAAAATTGGTGTTACATCTCATTCATACATCAATTTTAAATATATAATTTCAGTGTCATACATCTTTTCATTTTTGAGTTTTACTGTTCAAATAAACACAGGCCATTTTGTGAAACTTCGTTATTTAGACTCAGAGAACCATTACATATGTACTTTTGTTGAAAATTCGGATTTGAAAATTGTTATGATCACTATTCCTTCTTTTACCAAATATTTAATGTATATAAGTGATTGAAAGTAAAAAGTAAATCCTAACATTTCTGACTTGTAACAAAGAACAGGATAATTCATGTTATTAAGCTTTTCCTATATTTATTTCAAACAGGATTTGAAATGGATAAAATAAATGTTTTATGATTTATTAAATAAAGTAATATATCATTTTAAACTTATACTAAATGCCTAAACACAACAGTTATAAACTCAAATATGGACTAGTTTCATATTCATCATTATGATTATAATAATGATCATTATGACCACCACTTTCAATTGCAGTCAGTAGTACTTGCATTTAGCAGTAACCAATTTACAAAAATGCAAGAATGAGTTAAGGGTGTGGTTTTGAATGATATAAGTGTTCACTGTTTTTAACAGAAAGGAACCATTTCTTGGTACAAGTATATTCAATGCAAAATTGAAATGGCAAAAAATATTTAAAATAGAATCCAACAGTGTTAATTAACTAAAAAAACATAAGTACTAAAACATCGTAAAGTTAATTTTTGATCAATATAATACTAATATTTTGGGATTGATTAAATGTAGTATACAATTAGATTAGTGACAAACATATATTTACTTTTTATTAAAAAGCTTCTAAATTTTCCCAAATCCTTAACTTGAGTTTATTGAAAGCCTGTGCAAGGTGGATCAGTTCGTTTCTGATATAAACCATTCAATTTAGGATTCATTTATTTATAATTATCTATTTACAATAACTAAATTGTTATACACTTTCCTTCATCCCGGAGTGGTTGCGCACTTTTGACAGTTGGAGGGGTCTGATGGACCCCAATTTTCTTCTTTTTTTTCACTGTCTGAAAATATTTATTTTATTTGTATCGTAGTTAATACTTATTTGAGCAGTTAATGAGTAAAAAAAAAAAAACAGTTGTTTATTCTTAACATATATTTTAGGATAGAAAAATTATATTGAAGAAGTACTGAAGCTGAAAAAAAGTATTGTGATTTTTTTCCATTAAATATTTACTGTAAATAAAGATATTTCTAACAAAAAAACTGGATATGTTGTGGAAGTAGGTTATATTGAAAATAAAAATCATATTTTTACACCGACATTGCAGAAAAAAATTTATGATTTTCACAGGTAAACTTTTTGCACTTCGAGCAGCGAGTTCTTGTCCAATTTTCTAAGACAAATTTTGCATCTTTGCTTTTTTTTCATTTATTCTTCAGTTTCTGAAGGATTTTCAGGTTGTTCCTCAAATAACCTAAGGTACATGGTCATGCTAGAAGGAAGTTCTCTGGGAAGAAGAGAAGAAGGAACATATTTGCAATTAGTTGACTTTCTAAGTCACTTGGAAGCAACAAATTATTAATAACAATATTTTGAGTCATTCTTTAAATGAGAAACAAAAACTTAAATCTGATCTTGAAATAGAAATAAAATTTTAGGTAAACAAAAAAAAATTACTCAGAAATTTATACAGTCAAATCAGATCGTGCAGAATCCAATGAACCCCAAGAACTCAATATCTCAAAACCTGCACAAATCAATGTCAGATGGAATACTGATAGGTAAAAGTTTGCTGAGGATAGGAAGGTACCAGGAGTGGGAGAAGTACATGTTCAATCAGAAATATTTGGCAGAGCAAAACATATCTCCTAGGATCCAATGGACACCGCTTGACCACTCTAGGGTTAATAAGAAATTTCAAAGCCATTGATGCTGTATTTAATGAAAATACTAGATAAGTAAACTGAGGTAACAATGAAAATGTACAATTAAGATTGACTGTCCTAAATATAATTCAGGATATAGACTTCATATAGATAAACATACATTTTGAGAATCAATACAAAGGAGAGTGAATGTAATATACAAGAATATGGTCTGCAGAGGACCTTCATGGCTTGAGAAAATAGTAAATGTTGAAATTTTCTAATTATAGGATAAATGAAAGACAAGAATAGATATATGATAATTTAATTATTTAAACATGTATAATTCATAAAACAAATTATATTCATAAAATTTTAATAATGGCAAATAGCCACAGAATTTGCCAACAAAAACTCAAATCTTCTAAATTTTTAATCATCAAATGTTACGAAATACTAACTTTACAAAATTAAAAGTTATTATAAACAAGTCACTTTTGAAGTTCACAAATCACTGAAGTTCATTAACTGGATAGGTAAGTAGCATTAAAGTTGATGGTAAAACCTGTCAAATAAAAAAAAATAAATAAACAAACAATAGATTTAAATTTAAATAAAATGAAAATTTACTCTATACATATTATGGTCATATAAATTATGTATTTGTATCAACATATTATTAAATATAACATATATATATATATATATATATATATACATATAAACACAATTTTTCCAGTAAATAATTAACTAACAATACACTATTCACAAGGAATACTGATTCACAAACAATACTAAATTAAGTTTAAAGGAAACCAATGACAAAATATTACTTACAATTGTCAAAAGTTTAAGTTCACTGAATTAATCTATTGACTAAATAAATAATAAATGTACTAACTAAAACATCAGATTATCAAAATCTAAATGCTTGCTATTCAAATTTAATGAACTCATATTAACTAAGACCAATATAAAATGCCAATGAATCTATAAACCAAATAACTTCCGCTATTGAAAGTAAAGTAAATAAAGTGAGAGTAGTGTGAGTGATATATGTTATACCTTTCTAAATATCTCACACTACTCTTACTTAACTTATATTAAAGCTTTACAATATGTTTAATCAGTGTAGTTTACAGTATATTCAACAGTTGAATATAGTGAAGCAATTTTCAACAGCTGTAAATATGATTTCGTTACTAATTTTGTTTAAACTTAATTAAATGTTTTGTATGTAATTTAATGTGTAATAATTATTTTCTGTAAAAAATGTATAAACTGTTTACATTACGATATGAATATGAGAACAATTAAGTCTTGAAACCTTGACAAAATATAGTTGTTTAGTTCTCGAATGAACCTAAAAAGAAAAATTTTGTGTGTATACATATATATATATTTTTTTCTGTTGGCATTACAGGCCATGTAGATCTTTTGCTGCTTCAACAAGCCTGCTCCATCTCTTCATGTCTTGGGCTATTTTTTTACATTTATCTGCACACAGCTCTATTACATCTTTGTTGATTCTATCTATCCATCTGCTTTTTGGTCTTCCTAATGGTCTCTTGCCTTCTATTGAGGCATTCATTGTTACGTAGAGGCTTTTGGATGGATTGCTACGAGCTACATGCACTGCCCATCATGTGATATTTATTGATTGACTAGTTTCTGTAAGCAGTTTTTTATATATATATATATATATATATATATACATATATATATATATATATATATATATATATATATATATATATATATATAATATATATATATATATATATATATATATATATATATATATATAATCAACTATAGACTATAAAATCAAAAAATCTATTAAGATGAACTATTTATACACCATGTTACAATATCAAAGAAGTTAAAGAACTAAAATCATTCATAAAACAAAAGGAACAACTTTTTTTTTATTAATTAGATTTTCTGTACAAGCTTTACAGCATGCTTAAGATAATATATAATGTTTTAAATAACATTTTTGGCTAGTATACACTAACATAGGTGAGACAAAATTGACTAGAAAATTTCAAAATTGTACTGTCTTTTGCAGTGTGCTATCAATTCGTTTCATTCATGTATTTATATTTCTTGAAAAAAAAAAATGAAATAATTGATAAAGTCATTTCAAAAGGTGTGACAGAATATAAACCTATTAAATGTTTATAAGATGAAAAAAAAAAAGGAAGTTTGCTCAGAAAAGTTTTTCTTTATTAAAGGAACTAAAATGAGAAGAATTAGAAATAAATGGAAGTTTTTAAAGATATGTAGAAGAGTAAAGATATAAAAGGAAGGAAGAAATAAATTGCAAGAGATTTACTGAGAAAAAAATAGTGGGTATTTATACATTATAAATGAACTTTTAATGTTTTATTTTGACTTTTAAAAATTAATTTATTATATATCAAGTTTCCTTAAATGTCTCGTGTTTTAATAAGTGTTATGTTTTTCATTTAAACTGTTTATGTTGTTGAAGTCCCATAAAAACGGTGAATTTGATTAATTTATTATTTTAGGATTTTCATCTCGTTAGGCATATAAATTACTAAGATTTTGAAAATTAGCAAATCTGTATTTCCAATATTTGAACATCCCTCCTGATAAAATGACACCACAATCTAAAAAGACTAGTTAAATATGCTATCCTGAAAAATAGTGAAGTTGGATTTGCTCTTTTCACGGAACACCGGTTGAATTCGATTATAGCTCCTTTAGTAGAGGTTTAAAATAAAACGTGACTAATTAAACATAAACATAAAATTTATAGAATACTATTGTTATAAAAAAAACAAAACAATTTCACTAAACTATTAAGAATATATTCAAAGAAGTGTTTCAAATATAATACAGAAAAGTGAACACCAAAAAGAGAAATTGTTAAACATAATAATAATCCTGTAACTTTTAAGAGATGAGCATTTGGGGATTAGATGAAGTATAAACAGATTTCTGATTAGGAAGAGTAATACTAAACATAATTCTACTAACTACACAAATAAAATAAGCTCGGGAGAAAAAATTAAGGCTAGATGATTTTTTCTTTAATATTAAAACAAAAGAAGTTCTTGTTGGCATTGTAGATAAAAAATCATTTGATAAAAAAGGTTTCACATTTTCATTTGAATAACTGGAGAAATATGTAAAAACAAAACTGATGTGTGTCTTATTCAATATTCAAACATAAACTGAAAAAATAAGTGACAATTACAAAAAATCAAACAACTTCCAGTAATGTCAAATAATAATAGAAAACATTGCCCACATTTTAAGAGATTTCACAGAATTGAAGTTTAGAATCTTTACTATAAAAATTAAAAGATAATTATTGAATATTTAATAGTTGAAAGTTGCATTATAAAGGAAGGAGATGGTCCGGGGTGGCGGTCATAAATAGGCTAAATAGTGGCAAAACTATTTAGCCTATTTATGACCGCCACCCAGCAACATCTCCTTCCTTTAAAAGACAATTAATTTTAGTAACAATCGATTAAGTAAATTTGACAAGCTTATTTTACAACATTATAGCTCCTATTATTAATTATAAACAAATTATATGAGTTTAAAGGTTTAAGTTTCCAACAAAAACAAGTTATGCACAGTTATGAAAAAAAAAAGTTGCTATTAATTTGGATAATTCTATTATATGTATGCACTCTAATGTGTTGTCAACTTCAGCATCAAATGCCTTTGCCTTTAGAAAAAAAAAATTATGAAAAAATTAGCTAGTCAATAGTTCAAAAATCTAAGTCAGAAAACTTCTAAATCAACAGATATTGAAGTTATAGCCAGTATTTTTTGCAATTATAAGGTCCCCTATTGCTCCTTATTTTTTTATTAGATCATAGTGTTTCGCCATTAACATCCCATCTTCACAATTTTTTTTCTGCCTAGAAATCTATCTTCTAACCAGAGTTAGAATTTTACATTTTCTTTGACTACATTTAAAAAAAATACAGAATTATATTCCTTATAACATATGACATTCCTTGATAAATACATTTTTAATTAAAGAAAAACAGTAAAATGGTCGGATAAGAGGCACAGAAGTGTACAAAAGTTTTTAAAATCTGATATGAACCTAAAAACATCAAGATTTAATCAAATATATGAAACAGTTGGAAGCCTTATAATCACAAACCATATATAAGAATCCAAAAGTTGTTTTTCCAACAAAATGAGATTATCTAACAGAAAAATATGAAGTAGAAAAGAAAATATTCAGACAAATGAGATAAACTGACATTTTGTAATAGGTAAGAAAAAAATGTTCTAAAAATATATATTGATATCTTCAAGATAAAAATTTTGCTGCTGTGGTAAAGAAAATAAAGGTAAAAAGTATACCTACATAATACAATTGCAAACCAAAATGAAAATATTTTAATACGATTGTATGAGATACACAAATCTCACTTGATCAAATGACTGGAATATTTAATAATTGCCTCTTCAAAGATTTAAAAAAAGAAAAATATGGTTAAATAAATATTTAATTACAATTTAACAACAAAACTATAGAAATTTATTTCTAACATATAGTTTTTTATGATAGTGAATAAATAATTGATTGTCATAGATATATTAAAGAAAAGTTAGTTGTGGTGTTCAGTCAAACAAATAAAAAAGTAAAAATATGTGTATCTTATGGCACCTTTCATGAGAACAGCCCTGATGAAGGCCTGAAACTAGACAACCTCAGCAAAAATAAAAAATACATATAATTTATTTATTTGTTTAACTGAACAGCCCAACCATCTTCTCTTAGTTTTTTATGCATTGAATATCTTCCATAACTAGATACCATAATACGAAATTAAAAAAAAAAAACACGTTTTTATTTTGTATGTATCACTTTTAATAAGTATAAAAATTAGTTGGTTTTGTTTTATTTTTTAAATCGTTCTTCTCCCTTATGGTACATTAGATGAATGATTATTCTAATTCCTGGTGGTCCAATAAAGTTTTGACATTTTTCAGTGCTGTCAGATATAATGTATTTTCCAGGACCATAACAATCCATGAGGTGGTTTGAGTCCATAGATAAGCCATCATAGTCCACGGTACAGACACCGTTTTTATTAAATTATTAACATCCATCTAAAACTTCATGATAGGCTTCATCTTGACGTAAACTACAACTTTTGTATCAATGAAAATTCTCATTAATGGGAAGTTTTTTGTTACATTAATTAATTTAAGGAACTAAAAACCTTATGAATACTCATTTGAATCTATAAAGATAATTTGATCGAATAATGGGTAAAAAAAAAAAAAAAAAGTAGCCTACAAAAATATTGGGCCATTTGGCCTATATAATCTCGTTATAGGTGGAGGTCATCAGCCAAACAGCTTATTTTTTGTAGGTCACCTATTATATCGATTTTGTGATCAAATTATCTTATAATTTATGCGGAAAGTAAATAGATCTTCATGAGTTTATATAATCTCATTAAATAAACAAAGTTCATCGATCTTCAGATTTAAAACATTATATTTTTGAGGATTATCGTAAATAAAAAAAGTTGTAGGTATCGATAAGATTCACGA